ACCCCTACGCATGAGAGAGAGGGGTCCTATATATAGAAAACACAAAGTTTCCTCACAAACATCAAGCCATACACGTGTTGGAAGATGCATGAATCTGTACAAACAGCTGGCACAAAATATCACAAAATATCTGCAGGAAACACTGGTGGCTAGCCGGCCATCAGTGATTGCTGACAAGGCTTCATTGATGGTCGGCAGGGCACATCAATGGCTACCAAAGGAGAAGTGGTGGCTGGCAGCCTCCAAGGATGCCCGGCAAACCATCTAAAACTTCATGCTGAAAAGACCTAGGCATGGTCCAAAGATGAGACAAAATGGATGTAGGGTTTGAAATGCTCAAACTTGTGGCATTCCGCCGATGACTTCGAGCGCTGGGCGAGCAATCAAACTCGTCAACGGATGTACCTACAAGAACATCCAAGTCTTAAAGGGTCATCAAAAAATGAGATGTCTACACTACTAACACTACCGAAATCCATTTTTTCTGACTTTCCAGGGTTACATATAAAGGATGGTTGTGGTGGGCCCCTCAGGGAGGCAATTCTTTATCTATAAAGGATATTACTGGCATAACGTCCCCATAGGTGACCAACGACACCAATTGGTCAGCGGTGGTGTCAATAGACAGTTTAGTCCGGTTCATCGCTTCGAGCAGGGCTTGTCTATACTATCGAGATGCCATTATCAGTCCACTAATGGATATGTTGGCATGGATCTTCTTTAGCTATTTCAAGACCAGGTTTTCTTCAGCATCCTTCTTCTTTGCTTTCTCAGCCTCTCCGTTGGAAGATTCTAGCTGATGAAAAGTCAGGGCTTTAATGTACCAACCACTATGAGTTAGATGATCAATCTCATCAGTATACCACGTATCATTAGGGGTATCATCCTTCCACCCTTCATCCGTGTATGCATTGCTTAGATCATTATCTTTTAACCGCTCCCGTGCGGTCATGGCTGGGCTGCTATCAGGTTCTATTCTGAGCATGTTAACATCACGTGCCCCATCATCATACCCATCTTCCTCCACCACACCTTAGGCATCCCAGTACTTCTTAAGTTTTCTTAACATTCTCTTCAGATCACTGGGTTGCCACTTGATTTTCTTGGCGTCTTGAACACTGCCAGTTGTCGACTCAGCCTCTTCTTTTTCTTTTCCCCTTTTATATTCTAGAGCTATCTTTGCTTGGATCTCCTCTATCATTTCCCTTTGAAATTGTTCTAGTGTCTGTTCTCTCAGTTAGCAGTGCAGCCTTAGGCTTGCCCCTAACAGCAATTTCCTCTTCTATCCCAGTCTCTCCTATTTGTTTCTCCTCATCTGAATCTTCCTTACTCAACCATCCATTACTTGTTTCTGGCTGGCTTGGATCCTACCATCCCATCTGTACACATCTTGTATCTTTTTCCTCGAAGAAGTAAAGATCCTCCAGATCCTCCTCTAGGTTTGCTAAGTCATTCAGGCCTTGCTCGGGCCACTCATTCTGATTTTATACCACTTGGTCTTCTCCAATAGCATTAACGCTGAGAAAGTCCGACAATATGACTACTAGCTTTGGCTGATCGGCAACGACAATGCATAAACTGGAATCGTAATCCTCTGCGAGCGAGAACCACTTCTCTATGCTGCCGGTATCAGGCAACCCTGTCTTCAGTGCATTATATTCTTTCTCTATTTCTACTGCCACAGGCTTGGATTGGGTTTGTGGTGTTAGATCCATCATGCACATGTTTGTGCCTTTTGGAATGACCACCTCCGATTTTGGTAGATGGGATGAAGTAATATATGTGCTAGGGTTGAAGGTGGGCGGTAGTGTATGGATGTGGTTAATTTTTCTAGACGGGGGACTTGGTTGTGTGCTGGAAGTGGGTTGGTTGTTATGTTGGGTTTGGAAGGTGATCCAATGATTTTGTCGTCAATGAGATCCTGGATCTCATGACGTAGATAGCACATGTCTGTGGGATGCTCATGTCGCTGGTGGAAGATACAATATTGGGTAAGGTCATGTTTGGGTGGCAATGGGTCTGGAAGTGGACAAGGATCGAGAGGCTTGAGATGCCCCTTTTGCATTAATAGCTTGAGGGCTTGGGTTGGGCTCATATGGTGGGGATTAGAAACTATTCGATTTCGGGGTGGGCCAGTACTTTGTGAAGGTTATGAGGTTGTGGCACTAGCAAAACGATCAGCCATCTTGGCCGTTGAAACAACAGTACTGACATCCGTAGGCTGTGGAATAGTGCTACTGCTAGCATTGGTATTCCGAGAGAATGGCCTTCTTACGGGTTTTCTTGTTCTTTGAATGATACCCTTTCTGAATACACTCTCAATCTGGAGCCCAACTCATGTAGGAAAGCAAATGTGGACAATGGAACCACTATCATTCTCTGCAACATATCTAGCTCAAGGTTCTGCACCACTAACTTGACCTGTTCTCTTTTGGCAGGTCTATTTGTCATTCGGGCTGCCTTGGCTCTTTACCGGGCAACAAAATCAACGAATGATTCTTTGGGGTTCTAGGTAGTAGCCTCCAGCTCACTAATGGTTACTTCTATCTGAGTGTTATATGAATACTAATTGAAAAACGCCTCAGATTGCTCCTCCCAATTCCGCTTTGTTTAGTCCTTCAACTTAGCGTACCAAATGGCCACCACATCAGACAGGGTTCTCCCAAACAAGGAAAGCTTTTGTTCCCTAGGCAAACCCATGGGTCTCAATACATCTAAGAACAACTGGACATGCACAATCGGATTCCCACTACGATCGAATCTGTCGATGTGGGGCATTTTAAATTTCTCTAGTAACCTGACTGAAGCCTCAGTCCATTTTCGATATCTAGAATGGAGTTGAAGCCTTGGGATTTCTTCAATGCTTTCTCCAATCTAGCAATCTTGACTAAGGCCAGATCAATTTCATTGATATCAAAGGGAAAGATTCCTGCGAGAGGTTGAACTGGAGGCCGATAAGCTAGAGCCGGGGAAACATGTCCTAAGGATCTAGGACTGGCAAATTTTCTACTGGATATCAAAGGGAAAGATGCACGGTTGATGCTGATGCCCCAGATGTACGTCGTAGATCAACAATAACTTCATCTTGTGCAGCCATCCTCTGGTTAATGGTGTCCATAGCTCTTTGGAAAGCTGTCATCATGGCAGCAAATTCCTCCATGTTCTGTGCTGTATTATGCACCATTGCTAGTCTGGGTGAACTAGATGCTGGTGAATTGATTGAGTGGGAACGGATAGGTGTTTGTGGAGTGCATTATACTAGTGTTATTGACTGTCTGTTCCTTTTTCATCGGGTGACTGGCGGAAGCGAGACTAACATGGGCTGACCACCAACAAGGTCCTGAGCTTTACAAAGCCTGCCAAAATGAGTCCACACAACTTGGGGAATATCAGGTCTTTCTGAAGCTATGATGGTAATCTACGTAACAAAAAGAAAGAAAGAAAAGCATAATCAAAATCGGACAACACTTCGGCGCAATTCACAACAATCATAACACATAGCTAAATTGTTATCCCCACAGAACTCTGTTCTCAAACTCATACTGATATGAACCACCCTGTACAGTTTCACTGAAAAGGCACATATCAAGTAAAAAGAGACAATACACCCTTACGAGGGGGTAAGGTTACCCTGTCCTAGATTTTTGGCATGATCTAGGCTGCACTATTTCAAAAAATGAGTTTCACGGTATCCTACACCTAGATGGTATCCTGTCCTAAGTTGGAATAGTCACTATAACCTCACAATATGTAACTAGACCAAATGGTCGAAAGGGTAACTCAGCAAGACTACCTAATATACCTCTCACAACTAATACTAAGAAGTGAAAGGAGGATCAAACGGTATGGTGGTACTCTAGATCTAAAGGTTGAGTTCCCAATATGGCAGAGCCCACGACCGGTCAGCCTTTTGGCAAGCTTTTAGGCAAGCCTCCGGAAAACAGTTCAGGAATAGTAGTCGGCAAACACAGTGACTTAGGCACACTAATGCAAATGCAATGCAAAGAACATATAAGTGTAGATAAAAGTTCACATCATGAATTTCGAGTCATGTTCTCTAATTTCCCAGTAGAGTCGCCAGAAACTGTAGGGCTTCTCGTCTTCCAAAAGCGGGCACAAAAAGTCGAGCTACACATAGGTTGTGAAACCTACACTCATGTGAGTATTTAGTAAGACTTTTGGTAATATTTTAGTATCCCTAACACAACTTGGTGAGAAGAAAAGAAATAATTGTGATTTTTGACATTTTTATTTGGCAAAATAATGATTAAAAGGAGGTCTGTGTGCCTTTTTATTTTATTTGATTTAAATATAGAGGGGTAATTTAAGGATTATAAACTTTTTGTGAAGCGTAACTTTGGATTTCACTAAATCTCACCACTTTAGTGTGGACAAGGCACTTAACCAGTGGTTCATGTAGATATTTTTTTGGACAATAAAAAGGTCATAAATTTAGAATTCAAGTTGATAGAGTGCCAACAACCCTTTTATTATAATTTAACTTATTAATATACCAAACCCCTTTCCGAGAAAAAGTGTCCACAATGGGCCACTATTATCTCACGTTTTAGGTAAGTCAAAATGTTCTATCTTCCCTTATACTTGTTGTTTGTTTGCACGCAAGTTGTTCGCGTAAATGTCTTTTAGAAGCTTACATTGACTATTTACAAATTTAAATGTCAATTGTAACGCCCTGGAAATGAACCACCCTGATCCCGTTCACCCGGACATTTCCAATATACGATCAACAACAAGAACGAGACAAAATAATGATGAAATAACATCAACAACATTCCTTCCCTTTTGAACGATTTCCAAGCTCTACAACTGTGACATCCCTGTTCTGTATTATGCTAATTGGCCCTTAAGTTGTTTATGGTTATGTGTTTAGCATGGTTTTGTATGCCATTATGTGAAAATATGTGGTTTTGAATTTCTATCTGTTCACCGTAGGAATATCTGTTTGATTTTACCGCTTCCAAGACCAATTTGTTAGGCTTTTAGATACCACCAAATCCTAATGCTCCCTTGGTGCATCCATCTGCATTAAGTTTAATCCTTCCTGCAATAGGACAAGACCAATTTGTTAGGCTTTTAGATACCACCAAATCCTAATGCTCCCTTGGTGCATCCATCTGCATTAAGTTTAATCCTTCCTGCAATAGGACAAGACCAATTTGTTAGGCTTTTAGATACCACCAAATCCTAATGCTCCCTTGGTGCATCCATCTGCATTAAGTTTAATCCTTCCTGCAATAGGACAAGACCAATTTGTTAGGCTTTTAGATACCACCAAATCCTAATGCTCCCTTGGTGCATCCATCTGCATTAAGTTTAATCCTTCCTGCAATAGGACAAGACCAATTTGTTAGGCTTTTAGATACCACCAAATCCTAATGCTCCCTTGGTGCATCCATCTGCATTAAGTTTAATCCTTCCTGCAATAGGACAAGACCAATTTGTTAGGCTTTTAGATACCACCAAATCCTAATGCTCCCTTGGTGCATCCATCTGCATTAAGTTTAATCCTTCCTGCAATAGGACAAGACCAATTTGTTAGGCTTTTAGATACCACCAAATCCTAATGCTCCCTTGGTGCATCCATCTGCATTAAGTTTAATCCTTCCTGCAATAGGACAAGACCAATTTGTTAGGCTTTTAGATACCACCAAATCCTAATGCTCCCTTGGTGCATCCATCTGCATTAAGTTTAATCCTTCCTGCAATAGGACAAGACCAATTTGTTAGGCTTTTAGATACCACCAAATCCTAATGCTCCCTTGGTGCATCCATCTGCATTAAGTTTAATCCTTCCTGCAATAGGACAAGACCAATTTGTTAGGCTTTTAGATACCACCAAATCCTAATGCTCCCTTGGTGCATCCATCTGCATTAAGTTTAATCCTTCCTGCAATAGGACAAGACCAATTTGTTAGGCTTTTAGATACCACCAAATCCTAATGCTCCCTTGGTGCATCCATCTGCATTAAGTTTAATCCTTCCTGCAATAGGACAAGACCAATTTGTTAGGCTTTTAGATACCACCAAATCCTAATGCTCCCTTGGTGCATCCATCTGCATTAAGTTTAATCCTTCCTGCAATAGGACAAGACCAATTTGTTAGGCTTTTAGATACCACCAAATCCTAATGCTCCCTTGGTGCATCCATCTGCATTAAGTTTAATCCTTCCTGCAATAGGACAAGACCAATTTGTTAGGCTTTTAGATACCACCAAATCCTAATGCTCCCTTGGTGCATCCATCTGCATTAAGTTTAATCCTTCCTGCAATAGGACAAGACCAATTTGTTAGGCTTTTAGATACCACCAAATCCTAATGCTCCCTTGGTGCATCCATCTGCATTAAGTTTAATCCTTCCTGCAATAGGACAAGACCAATTTGTTAGGCTTTTAGATACCACCAAATCCTAATGCTCCCTTGGTGCATCCATCTGCATTAAGTTTAATCCTTCCTGCAATAGGACAAGACCAATTTGTTAGGCTTTTAGATACCACCAAATCCTAATGCTCCCTTGGTGCATCCATCTGCATTAAGTTTAATCCTTCCTGCAATAGGACAAGACCAATTTGTTAGGCTTTTAGATACCACCAAATCCTAATGCTCCCTTGGTGCATCCATCTGCATTAAGTTTAATCCTTCCTGCAATAGGACAAGACCAATTTGTTAGGCTTTTAGATACCACCAAATCCTAATGCTCCCTTGGTGCATCCATCTGCATTAAGTTTAATCCTTCCTGCAATAGGACAAGACCAATTTGTTAGGCTTTTAGATACCACCAAATCCTAATGCTCCCTTGGTGCATCCATCTGCATTAAGTTTAATCCTTCCTGCAATAGGACAAGACCAATTTGTTAGGCTTTTAGATACCACCAAATCCTAATGCTCCCTTGGTGCATCCATCTGCATTAAGTTTAATCCTTCCTGCAATAGGACAAGACCAATTTGTTAGGCTTTTAGATACCACCAAATCCTAATGCTCCCTTGGTGCATCCATCTGCATTAAGTTTAATCCTTCCTGCAATAGGACAAGACCAATTTGTTAGGCTTTTAGATACCACCAAATCCTAATGCTCCCTTGGTGCATCCATCTGCATTAAGTTTAATCCTTCCTGCAATAGGACAAGACCAATTTGTTAGGCTTTTAGATACCACCAAATCCTAATGCTCCCTTGGTGCATCCATCTGCATTAAGTTTAATCCTTCCTGCAATAGGACAAGACCAATTTGTTAGGCTTTTAGATACCACCAAATCCTAATGCTCCCTTGGTGCATCCATCTGCATTAAGTTTAATCCTTCCTGCAATAGGACAAGACCAATTTGTTAGGCTTTTAGATACCACCAAATCCTAATGCTCCCTTGGTGCATCCATCTGCATTAAGTTTAATCCTTCCTGCAATAGGACAAGACCAATTTGTTAGGCTTTTAGATACCACCAAATCCTAATGCTCCCTTGGTGCATCCATCTGCATTAAGTTTAATCCTTCCTGCAATAGGACAAGACCAATTTGTTAGGCTTTTAGATACCACCAAATCCTAATGCTCCCTTGGTGCATCCATCTGCATTAAGTTTAATCCTTCCTGCAATAGGACAAGACCAATTTGTTAGGCTTTTAGATACCACCAAATCCTAATGCTCCCTTGGTGCATCCATCTGCATTAAGTTTAATCCTTCCTGCAATAGGACAAGACCAATTTGTTAGGCTTTTAGATACCACCAAATCCTAATGCTCCCTTGGTGCATCCATCTGCATTAAGTTTAATCCTTCCTGCAATAGGACAAGACCAATTTGTTAGGCTTTTAGATACCACCAAATCCTAATGCTCCCTTGGTGCATCCATCTGCATTAAGTTTAATCCTTCCTGCAATAGGACAAGACCAATTTGTTAGGCTTTTAGATACCACCAAATCCTAATGCTCCCTTGGTGCATCCATCTGCATTAAGTTTAATCCTTCCTGCAATAGGACAAGACCAATTTGTTAGGCTTTTAGATACCACCAAATCCTAATGCTCCCTTGGTGCATCCATCTGCATTAAGTTTAATCCTTCCTGCAATAGGACAAGACCAATTTGTTAGGCTTTTAGATACCACCAAATCCTAATGCTCCCTTGGTGCATCCATCTGCATTAAGTTTAATCCTTCCTGCAATAGGACAAGACCAATTTGTTAGGCTTTTAGATACCACCAAATCCTAATGCTCCCTTGGTGCATCCATCTGCATTAAGTTTAATCCTTCCTGCAATAGGACAAGACCAATTTGTTAGGCTTTTAGATACCACCAAATCCTAATGCTCCCTTGGTGCATCCATCTGCATTAAGTTTAATCCTTCCTGCAATAGGACAAGACCAATTTGTTAGGCTTTTAGATACCACCAAATCCTAATGCTCCCTTGGTGCATCCATCTGCATTAAGTTTAATCCTTCCTGCAATAGGACAAGACCAATTTGTTAGGCTTTTAGATACCACCAAATCCTAATGCTCCCTTGGTGCATCCATCTGCATTAAGTTTAATCCTTCCTGCAATAGGACAAGACCAATTTGTTAGGCTTTTAGATACCACCAAATCCTAATGCTCCCTTGGTGCATCCATCTGCATTAAGTTTAATCCTTCCTGCAATAGGACAAGACCAATTTGTTAGGCTTTTAGATACCACCAAATCCTAATGCTCCCTTGGTGCATCCATCTGCATTAAGTTTAATCCTTCCTGCAATAGGACAAGACCAATTTGTTAGGCTTTTAGATACCACCAAATCCTAATGCTCCCTTGGTGCATCCATCTGCATTAAGTTTAATCCTTCCTGCAATAGGACAAGACCAATTTGTTAGGCTTTTAGATACCACCAAATCCTAATGCTCCCTTGGTGCATCCATCTGCATTAAGTTTAATCCTTCCTGCAATAGGACAAGACCAATTTGTTAGGCTTTTAGATACCACCAAATCCTAATGCTCCCTTGGTGCATCCATCTGCATTAAGTTTAATCCTTCCTGCAATAGGACAAGACCAATTTGTTAGGCTTTTAGATACCACCAAATCCTAATGCTCCCTTGGTGCATCCATCTGCATTAAGTTTAATCCTTCCTGCAATAGGACAAGACCAATTTGTTAGGCTTTTAGATACCACCAAATCCTAATGCTCCCTTGGTGCATCCATCTGCATTAAGTTTAATCCTTCCTGCAATAGGACAAGACCAATTTGTTAGGCTTTTAGATACCACCAAATCCTAATGCTCCCTTGGTGCATCCATCTGCATTAAGTTTAATCCTTCCTGCAATAGGACAAGACCAATTTGTTAGGCTTTTAGATACCACCAAATCCTAATGCTCCCTTGGTGCATCCATCTGCATTAAGTTTAATCCTTCCTGCAATAGGACAAGACCAATTTGTTAGGCTTTTAGATACCACCAAATCCTAATGCTCCCTTGGTGCATCCATCTGCATTAAGTTTAATCCTTCCTGCAATAGGACAAGACCAATTTGTTAGGCTTTTAGATACCACCAAATCCTAATGCTCCCTTGGTGCATCCATCTGCATTAAGTTTAATCCTTCCTGCAATAGGACAAGACCAATTTGTTAGGCTTTTAGATACCACCAAATCCTAATGCTCCCTTGGTGCATCCATCTGCATTAAGTTTAATCCTTCCTGCAATAGGACAAGACCAATTTGTTAGGCTTTTAGATACCACCAAATCCTAATGCTCCCTTGGTGCATCCATCTGCATTAAGTTTAATCCTTCCTGCAATAGGACAAGACCAATTTGTTAGGCTTTTAGATACCACCAAATCCTAATGCTCCCTTGGTGCATCCATCTGCATTAAGTTTAATCCTTCCTGCAATAGGACAAGACCAATTTGTTAGGCTTTTAGATACCACCAAATCCTAATGCTCCCTTGGTGCATCCATCTGCATTAAGTTTAATCCTTCCTGCAATAGGACAAGACCAATTTGTTAGGCTTTTAGATACCACCAAATCCTAATGCTCCCTTGGTGCATCCATCTGCATTAAGTTTAATCCTTCCTGCAATAGGACAAGACCAATTTGTTAGGCTTTTAGATACCACCAAATCCTAATGCTCCCTTGGTGCATCCATCTGCATTAAGTTTAATCCTTCCTGCAATAGGACAAGACCAATTTGTTAGGCTTTTAGATACCACCAAATCCTAATGCTCCCTTGGTGCATCCATCTGCATTAAGTTTAATCCTTCCTGCAATAGGACAAGACCAATTTGTTAGGCTTTTAGATACCACCAAATCCTAATGCTCCCTTGGTGCATCCATCTGCATTAAGTTTAATCCTTCCTGCAATAGGACAAGACCAATTTGTTAGGCTTTTAGATACCACCAAATCCTAATGCTCCCTTGGTGCATCCATCTGCATTAAGTTTAATCCTTCCTGCAATAGGACAAGACCAATTTGTTAGGCTTTTAGATACCACCAAATCCTAATGCTCCCTTGGTGCATCCATCTGCATTAAGTTTAATCCTTCCTGCAATAGGACAAGACCAATTTGTTAGGCTTTTAGATACCACCAAATCCTAATGCTCCCTTGGTGCATCCATCTGCATTAAGTTTAATCCTTCCTGCAATAGGACAAGACCAATTTGTTAGGCTTTTAGATACCACCAAATCCTAATGCTCCCTTGGTGCATCCATCTGCATTAAGTTTAATCCTTCCTGCAATAGGACAAGACCAATTTGTTAGGCTTTTAGATACCACCAAATCCTAATGCTCCCTTGGTGCATCCATCTGCATTAAGTTTAATCCTTCCTGCAATAGGACAAGACCAATTTGTTAGGCTTTTAGATACCACCAAATCCTAATGCTCCCTTGGTGCATCCATCTGCATTAAGTTTAATCCTTCCTGCAATAGGACAAGACCAATTTGTTAGGCTTTTAGATACCACCAAATCCTAATGCTCCCTTGGTGCATCCATCTGCATTAAGTTTAATCCTTCCTGCAATAGGACAAGACCAATTTGTTAGGCTTTTAGATACCACCAAATCCTAATGCTCCCTTGGTGCATCCATCTGCATTAAGTTTAATCCTTCCTGCAATAGGACAAGACCAATTTGTTAGGCTTTTAGATACCACCAAATCCTAATGCTCCCTTGGTGCATCCATCTGCATTAAGTTTAATCCTTCCTGCAATAGGACAAGACCAATTTGTTAGGCTTTTAGATACCACCAAATCCTAATGCTCCCTTGGTGCATCCATCTGCATTAAGTTTAATCCTTCCTGCAATAGGACAAGACCAATTTGTTAGGCTTTTAGATAGGAAATGGATGGTAATGTCCATACTGAAAGCCTGGAAAATCTCTTTAGAATAGTCTAAAATAATTTTCACTCTCTCTTGGACACTAAAGTTTTTTTTTTTCTTCTCTCAAAAATCACTTTGTTGCGATGTTTCCAAATGATCCAAAGGGAAGGGGGAATTGTTTTTTCATTTTTGAGTTGATCTGAATCCAATATTAAAAGGTTTTTCAAGCATAGACAAGTACCACTCCCTATTAAACATTAAGGTCCAAACTGTTAGCTTTAGACTATCATATTTTTAGCTTGCCAAAACAAGCTCAAATGGGTCTCTAAATTAGTTATGGGCAATTGTGTAACGCCCCAACAAAAAAACCTCCCTGTTTCCCTTTTTCTCCGAGCATTACCAATGCAAGATCAACAACACAAAATGGAATAGTAAATATATACATTAACCACATTCCTTCCCTTTGAACTATTTCCAAGCTTTACTACGTTGTCTCATTACATTTACAAACAAAATAAAATAGTTCAACGAGTAAGGAATGCTATAACAAAATCAACTACCGTTCATCTTATCCTCAAATTTGTTCCTTGTTACATCAAAATACATGTCAACACATAGTCACCCAAAAACTACCCTTGGCATACACATACTATGATTTCAAACATAAGCTTTCACATCCCAAATATTTCTTCAACTCAAAACATTCACTTAGGAGGCACTTCGTCTTCATTTCCTGAAATTGGTTAGCTTTGGGGTGAGCAAAAGCTCAGTAGGTAATGCACTTAACATGTTATAACATTAATTGAAAAGCACATGATCATGTAATGTAACATTTGGTAAATTTTATTATGTATGTGTATGAGTGCCTTTATGCATAAGTATGGAAAGACAAGGTTAAGGTTTTTCATGGGCGGTAAGCATACTATGACATGACAAGTAACAGCCACAATTCAAAATATATACATAGATATAGATTTTGTATACTGAAAATAGTCCCACATTTTTCGACTCCAGAAACGGCAAGGCAATGGGCACCCAAAAATATTTTTTCCTTCCACATTTGTCGACTCTAGAAACAGGAGGGACGTGTGTTTTTCCATATTTTCCTACTGTAGAAACGTCGGGCTCGTGGACACTCAAAAAAAAAATTTCCACATTCATTTGGCAATATGCACAGATAGGGCAATTGGGCACCTTGACTCCCCGCGCGGGTACCAATTACAATACATAACTCAGCCCAAACCCGATTCACTACCCGGACTCATAGACTATTTACTCCTTTTCAACTTTCCACTATTCGCACCATTATTGTATCATGAAAGAAATTTAATAATGCATATGATGCATGAATTTGTAAATTCTTATTTTTCCAGAAATGATTCCAATGCACAACAATTCAATCACCACCAACTCAAGATGTATATGGAAAAATATTTCAAATCATACCTTTTAAGCTCAAAGTTAAGCAAATACCTTCAATTTATGTTTTTGAAATCATTTAAGCAAAAAACCCTTTTTATTGAACAATTTCCAAAACTAGGGTTTATATAAAATTTAGGGATTTTCCTCCCTTTCATGAAATTGAAGCTAATGTTCATCACAAACAATAATAATCATCAGTAATAAACACAAATCCTTCCATAACCTTGAAACATTGCCAACTTTTGTCCAATCCCTTCACTAACACAAAACAATCTATATATATATATATATATATTCACCTATATATATAATGAGTATCTAATGAAATTACCACGTATGAGTTTCAAATTAAGGATATAATAAGTTAAAGACACCCCTACCTCAAGAATGGAAGCTAAAGACAAGAGTCCATGTGAAACTTCAACAAAATCTCGAAACAATCGGTAAATAGCTTGAACTTGACTTGCTCTTCAATTATCTTGAAGGATCTTGGGTGAATCTAAGGCAAAATGTTGACAAATCAAGGGTTTTGGGAGTTAGGGTTAAGAGAAAGAGAATGAGTGGAAAAAGTGATGAGAAAATGAGTTGGGTCAACTTTTTAAGTGAGCAGTCTTGAACAGACCGCTCGAGCGAACTTTCCATCACTCTAGCGAACAACACAATTTTGAGAGGATTACTTGAGTGACCTTTCTACCTCTCGAGCAAAAAACAAGAGGTTCAAAAAGTTTTGCAGAGCTACAGTGAAAATATTGGGAGCATGAAATCTGCACTAGAGCGACCACTTCACGGCTCGAGTAGTCTCACCTGTAAAATTGAAAACTACAGAGAGCTAAGAATCTCCGCTTGAGCGACCAAATGACCACTCTAGCGGTCTCGTAAAAACAATTGTCACATCAATGGTCTACTTTTTTTTTTCTTTCTAGCATGCATACCATTTTTGTTTAGAGTAATTGTGGGTTCTATAAAGCATTTTTTTGTCTATATGTTTGCTTTGTGCAGTTGGTAATCTTTGTTTTGTTCTGAATTATTTTTAATTATGTTTTGTATGGGTTGAACATTACTAAAATTGTTTTATGCCCTCTATGTAGCATTGTGCTTTTTCTATACACCATAATCTATGAAAGATCGACACTTCAAAATGGGTGCTGTGTATGGGACACCGACACATGCGTGTCCATGTATCGAACACTTTGGGAATACATCACAGACATGTTTTTCATGTGTTTGGACATGCCTCAAAACACCTTAGTGATTTTTTTTTTTTTTATAATTTTAGAAGATGCGTTTGAGTTAAAGTAAAACATATGAAAACAAAAGAGAAAAATGAAAAATAAAAATACATTACAAATACAAATATGATGTCTCTTATGTCTCTCTGTGCCTAAATTTATATCTATATACATAACAAATATAAATATAGATAAAAAATAAATTCGTTGTCATATCCCTACTGTGTCTATATCAAATTTTTTTAAAATCATCATTTATCTTGTTCTTATTAGTGTCTATGTCCACACTTCTTGGGTCGTACCAAATATTTAGTATAATATCCTATTTTGGTAGGTTCGCTTAAGCGGTGGAGTTACCGCTCGAGCGGCCATTTGGAGCTCCCAGTATTTTTTTTGCAAACTGAGTGTATGGTGAGACCACTCGAATGGTCAATTGGTCGCTTGAGGGGAGATGTGACTTCCAGTACCTTCACTTTAGACCTGAAAATTTCTAAGAGTTCGTGTTCACTGTTTGAGCGATGAAAAGTTCGCTCGAGCGGTCTTTTTGGGATTAGCCATTTAAAAATCGCCTTTTTGACTCATTTTTTCTTTCTCTTTCTTACTCCTCATTTCTAAAAAACCTAGCCTCAAAACCTTAGATTTCATCTACTTGTCCTAAGAATCCATCCTAGTTTCTTTATTAAAGGTGTAGTGCTAGTTGAAAGCTAAACTTTGGACCGATTCGACCGTGATTTCTTCGTGGTTTCTTCGTTGGTTCTTCATCTTTTCACTTTCACCTTTGAGGTAGGAATACTTTTAGCTTTGTATATCTATATTTTGATTTGATTATGTGTTAGTTCATAATATATGTGATATGAGATAGATGAATTGATTTAATGGGTATTAATGGGAAAATGGGGTTTTGCTTCAATAATTTGTAATGTTTGAATATTTATTTTTTTATTTTTTTATTTTGATAAAACAAACATTTACCCCATGATTCTTGGATTTATAATGAATATGGAGAAAAGCCCTAAATTTCTCAAAAACCCAAACTATTGATTTTGATTGTTAGAAGATAAAGGGGACGTAAATGGATATTATGTGGATATGTTGAGACATTTTGTAATGGGACAAGTTTCGGGATTAGTTGAAATGTTATGTTGTGTGATATATTTGGTACCTGTGCGGGAAAATTAGGTGCCCATGTAGCAGATCGTGTGAGGACGATAAATGTAAGAAATGTTTGAGGTGTCCACGCACCCAATCTAGTGAGAACAATAAATGTGAAAAGTTTGAGGTGCCCACTAGCCCATCCTTGTGAGGACGGAAAATTAGGTGCCCATGTACCGGTACAACTGCATGCTTACCTAGTATATACGCCATATATGATATGGGAAAGTTAGGTACACCATGGGTATGGGGTGGGTACTCAAGTATTCCACAGAAGTTGAATTTTTTTTTTTCCATTTTTTTTTCCGGGAAGTTGGAATTTAATGCACGTAGAATTATGTAAAATAAAAATAAAAAAAATAATTAAATGAATGTTTATAGGAATATTGAAAATTATATTGATGTTTCATTGTTACTTTCATAATATTGATGTTTTTAAATTCATATTTGAATATTAAGACAATATACACTTGAATGAAATGAAAGAATTCACAAATTATTGCCTTAATGTTTATAGGAATATGAGTTCATCAAGTTTGGGATTTTACTCTAGTGTTATATTGGTATTGTTGAATATTGAATTATTTTTGGTTTTGTAATTTCTCATTTTAGTTATTGTTTTGAACTTTGATTTATAGGTTGGATGTTTAGATATAAACTATATATATATATATATTTGATGTCCCCTAGTTGTACCCGTACCTTTATTTTTTTAGATTTTAGCATATCGGCATGTCCGTATGATACCCATACCGGTATCACAATGGGCTAGGATTAACCATCATGCATTGTATGAGAAATTGTTGCATTATAGTACAACAATATTCTTCACTGAAATATGGAATTGATTTCCTTGCCCTTGCCCGTACATGTTGAAAAAGCAGGGGTCTTATGAGCATCTTTTGTTTTCCTTTCATTTCTGTGCATCGAACCAACTTTCTGATATAGTCAAATTATCTGCCCATTCCCTTGGATGCATAAAAACACTAATTGCATGCACCTCCTTAAGTCTACATGGAAAATATGTATCATCTACTAGTGGATTGTTTAACTCCATGCCTTTTTTGTCATTCTACAACTCACATGCCTTTTTTTGTCTTAAACTGCACATGTATATTTTAAATTACAACAACTATTGTATTGCTTATTAATTTAGCATATAGCATTGACAGAGT